GAGCTTGATGAATTTTTTTTAAAGTGCCAAAGAAAACTTTCTGGAAAGGTGCCAGGCAAATAAAATCAGGGCTTAAAGACAAAAACAAAAACAAAAAAATAATAAAATACAAAACAGTGGGTGAATTCTTCCTAACAGATGGGAGGTACAGCAGACTTGTCAGCAGCAGTAGCACTGGTTTGTAAGTGATCTGTGCCCCTGGGCACTCTCCTCTGTCTCAGAGCCTTTTGCCTTTTTTCCTTCTTCGGGCACTCGTGTGCAGAGGGGACTGTATCTGCTCCCTTTGAACAGAAGCCAGAGAGTTTTCCTACTGTAGTATTGTGGCACACAGCATGAGGGTGGGCTTCAGCATTGCGCTCTCAAATTCTGGTGCCCACCTGCTTACCCCTGTGCTACGAATCACAAAAGGTACAGCAGGGATTCCCAGACCAGAAGTGAGTGTGTCAAGGGGGCTGCTGCCCCTGGAGCAGCATGTTCCTCAAGGATGAATAAGATAAAACCTGCTCACACGGTGTGATGTACTAACACAAATTCCACCTGGACCGTGGAGCCACATGGAAAAAAGTTAAAGCCCGAGTTAAAATTAAAACCCAGAGACCTAAAGACAGACTGCTCTCACGTTGGTGAATAGCTTTCTAAATATCTAAGAAATCACCGGAGCAAAGTGGCAGGGAGATTTATCGAACCAAAATGTCAACAACATCTAAGCCAGATTCAAAGCTCAGACATTTGTTAGAATTTACATGAAATATATATATATATATATATATATATATATATATATATATATATAAACATGCTCCGTGGAAGGGGTTTTGCAGTTTGTGAGAGAGCTCGTGATATCCACCAAACTGATCCAAAGTTCTTATCCCGATTCCCTCGTTCTTTTTTCAAAGACTTTATTCCAAAGAAAATCGTCAATGGTGAGGCCAAAGATAAACAGAAAACCCCCAAATAGGCTTTATACAATAGGGGAAAAGGTAACATTATCAACTTTCAGGAGCCAACTCGGGGAAGGAAGGGCTGAATTAATTCTTAGGCATCCGATTCATCGTGTTGCCTCTGACACAGCATTTCCAAGTAACGTGAAGCTCTCAAGACAAAATCTTAACACTATTTGTAGGTCTAGAAGAGTGAAAAATAGTTGTCAGAATACGTACTAACCCTTCATGGATAAGGTTAGGAGGGGGGTGGATTCTAAACCGTACTGATTTTATGCTTTCGATTTTTGCAATGCCTTACTCGTGTGCAATGAGAATCAAATCCATTTGTGAGCAGGAAAAATGAAATATTCAAAACTGAAAAAAACTCAATTCAAAATCGCATATCCAGTGGATATCTATACATAGAAGTGAATCTATCAAACGGGATCAGCGTATCTGACAGGAAGTAATAGCGAGAGCTTCTGTTGTTTTTTGTTTTTGTACTAATTTTTATACTTTTTGAAGTTCTCACATGTCTTCTCTCATTTTTCTAATTGGGAAGAAAATAAACATTGTGCTAATGTACATAGAAATCTCATAATCATTCCACTTCCTGCCTGCCTGCAAGCAGATCTTTGCTTTGTCTTAGCACGTGTGGACAAGCCATTTCACGGACTTTTGTATCTCTGGTTTAAATTACACAGAAGCCACTCCGCTTCCCTTTGTGAGGGTCTCATTTAAATTTCCAGGTGTAGGGAGGTGTAGCATGAATTAGGAGAAAGGGGAGCCCAGGCTGTAGTTTGCAGCGCAGGGTTAACGACGAGGGGGCCGGGTGACGACAGCAGAGACAGGTCCCTGCTGGCCGGCACGACCCTCCCTTTATGTTCTCTGGTTCAGCAGCCAAGTCTCCAAAGAGTGTTTGTTTGGGGCTGCAGCTTGTAAACTCTGAGCTGAAGAAAAGCTTCCAGATGGAGAATGTCATGCATTTTCGTCTCCTTCTCTGTGCAGGGCTTAGGCGAGTGGTGCTGGCAGCATCGCGATTTGACGGTAACAAGGGCTTTGACCCTGCATGTGATTGGAAGCCCTGGGTTGAACCCTTTTTCTGTTGATGTTTGCGTCGAAGGCAGTGTGTGTTAGCTGTAGCTGCTGCTCTGGGCTGTAGACTGTCAGGGGGAAATGAGTGGGACTTGGGGAAATTTGCAAACAGCCAAGGGCAGTGAACATTGTGGGAGCTGCTGGGTAAAAGGCATGCATGCATTTCGGCCTCCTAGCACTTGCCTCGCAACGTATCACAAATCTGTTTGCTTTCTGAACACATTTTTGGTACCGTCTCATACCCCGTGCTGTTTTTTACCAACTTTGCTTTTCACGCTACGCTAATTCATGTCTTACGTGCCCTTTTTTTATCCTGCTGTGTGGCTGACAAACCTCAGAGCCAGTAGGTGGTCATGGCCTTGTGCCCCAAAGCTGGAAGGAAAGTAGGTGTGGAGTTGACATGGTTTAGGACAGGATCTTTCAGCACCACATGCGGGAGCTTCCAACTTGCAGGAGGCATGCGGGTCACAGCCTGCGTGCTGAGCCCTCTGCACACCCCACTCTGGCCCCGGGTAGGTTTTGAGGGCAGACAGCACCTGTGTGTTCCATAAGGTAAGCTACCTCCTGTCCCCAGACCCTGGTGAGCTGTGCCCACACACTAAGCAGCACACACAGGATATTCCCAAACCTAAGCTACCATTGAACAAATCAGTTCCCTTCTGTGTTATTGGCAGCTAGTCTCTCCCGAGCTCACCAGATAGGGTTCACCGGCACCATGAGATTCTGGCTGAGCTTTCCAACATCGGTTCACTGCTTGGTGACCACCATCAGGAAGGGGCTGTTCATTTGGGGATTTCCCAATCGTAGACAAAACAAATGTTTTCTCTTCTAGTGGGCTTTGCAAGCCTGGTCCAAGCTAGCAATTTGTAGTGTTGAGACCCACTGAGGTGCACCTGTGTCTTCTTTTATAAGTAACTGGAAGAGTTGAGAGAAGAGCCATTTAGCACCCCAGCCATTAAGGAAGAGAGGCCCAGAATTCTGATCCAGGGAGATTAAGGATTGGACAGCAGATTAACTAGGCAGACTGCTTCCCCCAATGCAGGAAAGAGTTTCCCTTTCATAACCCTTTGCAATATACCCACAAAAAAGGATAGGAAGGATAAGCCTTCTTGTTTCTCATGGAAAATGCAGGAAAAATAAAGGGGACAGGGGAACAAACAGCTGTTCACTTGACATAGATGAAAATAGCCATCTCTCCCACACCCCAGAGCTTAACATACCCCCAGTGCAGGCCCCACGGGTGGCCAACCAGATCCTGCTCACACAACCATTTGGAAGCTCTGCAGGGGGTGCCCAGCGGATGGTGGCCTGGGGCTAAGAGGCAGCATTCAGGGACTCCATCTCCTAAATACATGCACTGGTTTCCTGCTTGGTCACCCCTGTGCTGAGCTCCGGTAAGTCCGAGTCCCCCAACCGTCTCTAGGAGACCCCGTGGCTCTGGTCTCCTCACTCCTGCAGGAAGTCTACTTGGGGTGCCATTGGACAGCTGCCCACACACACACCCTAGGGATTTCCTTTGGGGACAAGGACTATGCTTTCATTTCCATGCTCTTTTAGATTCCCCTATGCTAGATACACAGGAGGACCTACTTTTTATTTGTACACGGAAGCTAGATGAATTAATAAATCAACATATACATTTGCCTGTCTTTGATTAATTCATTTCAATTCCCTACATATTTATCAAAGGTCTCCTCTCTACCTGGCCCCTGTTGGGGGCTCCAGGGACACCCAAGGGACACTCTACCGCTGGCTCCTTCTCACTCCTGTAACATATGTATCCATTTCTCCTCTTTTCCTCTGTTGATCTAACTCAACACTGGCTTCGCCACCCCCCTCTTCCCGACTTCCTGCACGGAAGGTTCTGGATGCAGACTGAACCGGCTCCAGCAAACAAAATAAGCTGAAAAGACAGCTTATTTTTAGCACATGTTGTTTGCACCAGCGCTGCCTTGGGGAGTCTCTCTATAGCCAGGCTGGCCCTGAGAGAGGAGCAAGTGCTTACTCAGGGAGGAATAGAACTTCATCTAAACATTGGTTGATTGGGGGGCCGGAGTGGAGGGGGTGGTGGTGATTGACTCACCCTGAGCGGGAAAGGCTGATATCACACTGTCTATAAAACAGTCCCATTTTCTGAACTCACAGAACTGTCTCCCCTGACCCCACGGTTAATTTGGAAACTGAATAGAAGACATGAGGGAAGCTTTGCCCTCCATCAATCGGCCAGGAGAGATTTCTGTGCCTGTCCCCCGTCCTGCTGACCCAATATTGTGCACTTCTGTTTTATGTCTCAGGATTCAGGGGTTGCAACAAAGTGCTCAAGGGAGTGCCTGCTTCCTTGCTACAGCATCTGGTTCCTCCAGGGTCCTCTTTACTACACAGAGCTGCCCCACTGCTCAGCAGGTGCATTCTTTAGCAAGAGGGCTGCTCCTTTGAGGGGGTGCCTTGAGGTGGGATGCTGATTTAGCCTACATTGCCCCTAGAAGGTCTTGATACAGTTGTTCAGGTGAAGCCCAGGTGGAAATTAAAGATTTGCCTAGACCATGGCTTTGAAGGAAATCTTGGGATATCGTGTATGAGCTGACCTAACTGTGGTAGAGATTTATAAGGGAAAAGCCACCAGTTCCAAGAGGCGGGGAGGAGACGCCTGCTAGCAAAGGCTTGTGTTTAAGTCTGTCCTGTCTGTCACAAAGAGAATGTTGCCTGATGCCTTGCAAAAATTCCTCCGTTACTACGGCTCTGAAACTAGCACCTTCCAGGACATTCCACGTTGGGGAACGGTTCTCTCACTGAATTAGCTCTCTGGTCTTGAGGTGTGAACAGAGATCTGTGAACTGCGGGGAACTGCTCACTCTTCTCCACGAGTGTCTGATTTTTAAAAGGCACAGGCTGCCATCCTGCATGAGCCTCGTTCAGCACTCTGAATGCAGCCCGATGGTGTGAGGCTTCGAGATATTATTATTTCTCTTTTAAATCTGGCAGAACAAAAGGGAAGGAGGGCGATCTGAAATGTGATGTCGTCTATTAAAGGAGTTTAATTTAGAGGCAATTCTACCCATCGAAACGGTAACTAGATCATTCTAAATGTAATGATATGATTTAAGGATTAAGTAGCCAGTGTGGACCTTCTGAGAGTGAATATATAAGAATACAGTATGTATACAGTTTATCATATGCATCATTATAGTGCATAATAGTTGCAGTCTCCAATTTTGCCCGGAAAAGCTCCAGAACGCATAGTGCTTAATCGGTGCTCTGCTGAGGGCCCTTTAAATCAATAAGATGAGCCATATCACATATGACCATCAGGGCAGCCGGTTCAAAGACCATGAGGATGCCTTTAGCGATTCTACCCTAGAATATTTTTCATCTTATGATACTTTTTATCTGCCTGGTCAGAGCATAAGACCGCCTGGAAGCCTTGGCATCCAGCTTGTCAAATGTGTGGCTCGTATCCCTGTTTGTGAGCTAACGTTAGGGGTAGAACACGGCACCAGTGTTGCATTTCGCTTTCACTCATGCTCTCTCTTGTTTCCTGAAATAGAAGCTGTTCTCAGAAAAAGAAAAAAATAAAATAACCAAGGGGTCGGATTTCCCGGTGATACATGGCAACAAGGCCGCCCCAGTGGTCGCAAAGAGACTAACCGGAAAGTATTGGGATAATTGGCTTGATTTAAATCCGAATGATGCTGCTAGGGCACAGCCCTCTTCCACAGGTTTCTTCTGTCTTAGCAGTGAGCCCCTTGCTCTGTGAAAGCAGTAAGAAGTGTCCCAGCACACGCTCAGCCCTGGCAAACGGACTTCTCCCCGAAATCACTACACATACTTCATAGTACGTATTTGTTAGCTTTTAAATCTTCGGGGAAAAAATAGTTTAAAAATACTGTAATACCCTCCCCCCCTCCAAATGACAAAGAAAATAATTTTTTCACTTGCTGAGAGAGACCAAAAAAGCAATGGTTTTCTTGTTCCTTTAGAATGTCCCCAGGAATTTGTAGTTTGGAAAAATCATTGACTTCTAATTTTTATAATGTAAATATTTGTGCTGCTCCCTGATTATGTTAAGCCTGAATATATATTTATGTTTCTTTCTTATGATTTTTGAGTGATTATTCACTCTACAGGAAATGTAACTTTGGGAGATTCATGGAGACTAAAGAAAAGTCCATTTTTAAATGTGTCTTATTTTATCTTGTTAATAAATGAATTTTAATGTAAAGAGGAAAGAAAAAAGAAGATATGGGATATTTTCCATAGGGGTTTGGTCTAAGGTGAATGTAACATTTGCAACCAAGAAGTGCCGTGGTTTAGGCTGTCAAAGTCATATTTTAAATTCTGCCTTTTCCCAAGCTGCAGGTTCTGCTGTTGATGGAGCTGTCAATATGCCCTAGCAAAACAAAGCCCGGGAGTGAATGCTAAGAAGTTAAAGGGAAATTCTTCAGAACCATTTAATAATCTTATAAAAGCGAACATGCAAGAGATGTCCCCACACGGATCGTCCATCAGAAAAAAAACTAATAGAAAGTGAAAGTTCCCTCGGAGTTTTGAATAACAAATAAGTGTATAAAAATTTAAATCTCTTGGGATTTGAGTTTCCTTTGTTTTCTTCTCCTCGGTCTCGGTCTCAGTAAGATTCTTGACAAAATCTGTTTTTGTGCAGGTGACGCTTTTAGCTTGGTGCTTTGAAGTGCTGCGGAAGGGGACAGCAGCTAAGTTTCACAGAGCAGATAATCGTCCCAGTCTTCACGAAGAAGTGACAAGGAACTCTACAATTGGAGCCTTAACAGTTCATTCCTGGCAACACTTGAGCATTGAAATGGGTCTTTGGGATTGCGTGGAACTCTAGGGCTCAATTGTCCACTTTCCCCACTGTGGATAGACACAACACGCAGGTGCACGGGGGCACAGGGCAAAAGGGGTGGAAGAGGTGACTCCCCAGGGGGATATCTGAATGGGGTCCCTGAGTGTCCCAGGCACCAGGCTCCACTGCCCAGGAACGCAGATCTCAGAGAAACAGACGGGTAGCCTGGGCTGGGTGTCATGGCTCAGGTGTCCAAAGAGATGTGGTGGGAATCATCCAATCTTTGTTTTATCTTTATTAGGTTTCCTACACACTCAAGTAAATGAAGACCCCAAACTTCAACTTCTCTTTTGCTTTAAGACAGGGGCACCCAAACTACCACAATTAAGAAAGGAACTCTCCACCCCCGTCTGGCATGAAGGCATAACTCCCGGGGAATTTCCTGGGTTTCCTTTCGGTTTTCGTCTGAAGAATGGCAGCTCCGACATGAATGAACTCGGCGGCTAATTGTTGCATGGTTTTTCTTGTAGTGATCTGGGTGTTTTATTCGCTCCTTCACTTTCCATCAGTGCTGAATGAGCCTTACCATGTGAAACGTTGCAGTTCGATAAAATAAGCAAATTAATCAAGTCAAGTGTGCTTCCAAGCTGGGCAGACACTTTTCAGGGTGCTGGGCATTTATAGCTCTTCCCAGTTGATATTTATAACCCAGCCATATGTGGTTATAAAGATTTATTACGAGCCTGTGGAATAAGTTCTGTTAATGTATACACTCAGCGTCCCAGCTTTGGCTCTGTAAGCCTGGGAGATTTCTAATAAGACGAGGCCATTCTAATCGCAAGCCAAGCACCATGCACTTGGCGCGGAGCCTCGGATTGAAAGAGGGCCAAAGCTGCAGCCCTCAGACTATACTCACCCTGTGTGTGCCTTTGCTAAAAATGTTTGCAAAGCTCAGGCAGGTATTTTTCTTCTTTATCCTCACCATCCCCATCTCAGAAGAGCTGAGCTGGGAGAATCTGTGGACTGAAAATCTAAATGGAAAAATTTGAGGCCACAGATGAGACCAGACTAGAAAGACAGGGCAGGCAAAGCAGGCTGGGAGCGTGGTGAATGAGGCATCTGTATGCCTACCCCCGGCCTTGTCCAGCCTTGGAGTAGCTACTCAGCTCATCAGGACAGAGAATGGCAGGCACCAGCTGGGGTCAACCACTCTCCTTGCCCAGCTAACAAAAAGGCGGAGGACTCAGCTCCTTCCCTTGACGCACTCCCTTCATTTCATGAGACTTCTCTGGTCCTTAGAGTATGTGTGTGTTCTTCAAGCAAATACTTGCCACCTGGGGGAAAAATAAGGGCTCTGTCTTCATCTGTTGTGGACTGCAAAAATAACATCTCACAGTCTTTCAAAGATATAAATAAAAACTTAAAAAAATTGCTCTAAGCCCCTCTTCTAGTTGGGAACCAAGAGTTACAGCATGGTCAGAAAATGGCCTTTCTCCAAGAGCCTTTTGCAGGGAAAGCCTGGGTCCAGAGCTTGCAGAGAGAGGCCAGCAGGCTCCCACTCTGCACACTTCCCCATGGGAATGTGCCCTCCGCAGGTGCCCACAACCCCCTGGCAGCTCTCCAGCCCCCACCCCCGCCTTGCAAAGGGCCACACTGAGGAATAATTTACAGATGGACTGTTCCGGGTCCCAGCTGCTTTTCTAGCAGGTTAGATGCCCTCCGCTGAAGTAGTCCCGAGATATCTCTGGGAGCCGGTTTCATGCCTGATTTTATTGCCGTCAGCATCATAAGGGTACTTTGATATTTATCCCAAAGGAACAACTGCTACAGAATTGCAGATATTCAGTAATGCCAGACCTCCTAGCTCTAGAGAAATTGTTAAGAATCTCTCTGGCTATTGGCCGGCGCCGTGGCTCACTAGGCTAATCCTCCGCCTAGCGGCGCCGGCACACCGGGTTCTAGTCCCGGTCGGGGCGCCGGATTCTGTCCCGGTTGCCCCTCTTCCAGGCCAGCTCTCTGCTGTGGCCAGGGAGTGCAGTGGAGGATGGCCCAGGTGCTTGGGCCCTGCACCCCATGGGAGACCAGGAAAAGCACCTGGCTCCTGGCTCCTGCCATCGGATCAGCGCGGTGCGCCGGCCGCAGCGCGCCGGCCGCGGCGGGCATTGGAGGGTGAACCAACGGCAAAGGAAGACCTTTCTCTCTGTCTCTCTCTCTCCCTTTCTCTCTGTCTCTCTCTCTCTCACTCTGCCTGTCAAAAAATAAAAAAATAAAAAAAAAAGAATCTCTCTGGCTATAGAACTTGGTGCTGAGCAAATGCTAGGCAGGTGCTTCTGTAAATGGACAGGCAGGGAGCTCTGATGTCGGAGCACCGTTTTCGTGGTTCCTGGCAACCTGTGTCTCCACTCCCACTGCCGCTGCCATTGCCACCTCTGCAGCCACTCCCTCTCCGGAGTAAATGACGCCACCTGTCTGTGGTGTCCTCCTCCAGATGCAGCCCTTACCGGGATTGTGTCACCCAGTTCACGCTAGCTTCCCTTTAAAGCCCTTCCACGTCTTTCCATTGCACTAAAAACAAAATCCAAGCTCTTCGCCATGCCCTAGGCACTGTCAAATGTCTCGACTCCGCCCTTGATGTCAATCCCGATGCATTTGCTTCCCTCCAAGACAGCCCAGGCTCTTTCACATCCACTGGCGACTGCTGCAGGGACACTTGCTGCTGCCCTCTTAGCTGTTGCTTTCCTGGTTAAATACAGCCCTCCAGGCCTGCCCCGCCTCATGCAAATTCCTCCGTCTTCCATTGCAGTATTTCCTTTACAGTGATGCACATTTGCAATTCGTCCGTTCATTTCCTCTATTTAGCTGCGCCTGTTTCCTTCTTCCGAGTGGAAATCCCTTGAGCACAGGCACCAAGACTTGGACCATTTCATCCAAGACATCCACAGCATGGCTGGTGAGCAGTGGGCACTCAAAACGCACTTGCTAAATGATAGAAAAAATAAGAGAAAATGTGATTTCTTCTGACCTTTGACTTAGCAGCCTTTATCTCCTCCTTAGAGTCACCAAAACAAGACAGAGGCCTTGAAGTCCTTCTAGAAGAGACTCACAAGCCGTAGATGTGAAACTCCAAACCAGCAAATGCTTGCTTCCAGCTATGAGTTGTGCTAGGTGCTGAACCCTTCAGTCCTTCCAACAACACTGAATTAATTAGACTTCTGTGTAGATCACTAAACTGATTTTTGCAAAGGAAACTACTTGTACAAGATCACCTAAGGAAATGAGGATACTTCCCAAGGTTTACTGAAAAATTATTAAAAAATCATTCGTTTTGGTGCCAAAAATGTTTGGAACTAGTGCATCGGTTTTTGTTGTTGTTGTTGTTTAAATTTTATGTATTTATTTGAGAGGTAGAGTTACAGAGTGGGAGGGGGAGAGAGAAAGGCCTTCCATCCCCTGGTTCACTCCCCAAATGGCTGCAACAGCCAGAACTGGGCCAACCAGAAGCCAGGAGCCAGGAGCTTCTTCCGGTCTCCCACACAGGTGCAAGGGCCCAAGGACTTGAGCCATCTTCCACTGCTTTCCCAGGCCGTAGCAGAGAGCTGGATTGGAAGTGGAGAAGCCAGGATAAAACTGGTGCCCATATGGGATGCCAGGAAGGCAGGCGGAGGCTTAGCCTACTGTGCCACAGTGCTGGCCCCCTAGCTTTTTAATAGTGTACATTTTCCTTGAATGTATTGAAGACTCCTTGTTGGTGTTGGAAGCAAGTGTCTGACAGTAGATTTTCCATACTAAAGCATTCTTTATATTCCTCAGGAGGGAGCATGATGTTATGAATACACTTCTCAAAATTGGTGGGGATAATACAAATTTTTTTTAAGATTTACTTTATTTCTTTGAAAGATAGACTTACAGAGAGAGATAGAGACAGAGAGAAAGAGGTCTTCCATCTGCTCATTCACTCGCCAAATGGCCAGAACTGTGCTGATCTGAAGCCAAGAACCAGGAGCTTCTTCCAGGTCTCCCACATGGGTGCAGGGGTCCAAGGAGGTAGGCCATCTTCCACTACTTTTTTTTTTTTTTGACAGGTAGAGTGGACAGTGAGAGAGAGAGAGACAGAGAGAAAGGTCTTCCTTTTGCTGTTGGTTCACCCTCCAATGGCCACCGCGGCTGGCATGCTGTGGCCAGCGCACCGCGCTGATCCGATGGCAGGAGCCAGGTACTTATCCTGGTCTCCCATGGGGTGCAGGGCCCAAGTACTTGGGCCATCCTCCACTGCACTCCCTGGCCACAGCAGAGAGCTGGCCTGGAAGAGGGGCAACCGGGACAGAATCCGGCACCCCAACCAGGACTAGAACCCGGTGTACCGGCGCCGCAAGGCAGAGGATTAGCCTAGTGAGCCACAGTGCCGGCCCACTACTTGTCTAGGCCATAGCAGATTACTGGATTGGAAGTGGAGCAGCCAGGACTCGAACCGGCTCCCATATGGGATGTGGCTTTACCCACTACGCCACAGCACTGACCCTGGGAAATGGATTTAAAAGCTAAATTCATTTTAATGCAAAAAGTATTGAAATCCATGTATACAAGGGATCTTTCAAAAGTTCTCAGAAAATGCATGATTACGAAAATACCATGCATGGATTTCAACATTTTTTCAGTACCTTCTTATTTTTAGATTAAAACCAAAGATTTGATAATTTTTTTTCTAATAGCATCCATTCGTAGGGGTTGCTGCTCAAACACCAGAGATTGCTTCAAGTGAGGAGACGGGGCTGCACAGGGCAGGGGGTGGGGTGGGGGCTCTTGGGTGAGTTCCTTACCCTTTCTTTGTTTCCTCCTGTGGGAATTAAGAGTCCCACACATGGCTGTGTGTGGGCTGCACAAGGGATCTGTCAGAGCACGTCCCCGTGTCTTCTACACAAAGCCTGCCCCGTGTCAGCTCCTCAATCCATGCTTTATTGGGCTCTTGCTGCAATGTGTTCTGATCTTGCTGCAATGTGTTCTGAGCTCAGTGCACAGATTTTTGCTCTACAGGTTTGTTTTTTTTTTTTTTTTTTTTTGGTCATCCATCAGGGAAACTACTCCTGGAGGCCATAGGCTGTTAGGGAAACTGTCTCTTTCCTTGCACACTCTCACCGCAAGGCTTAACTCAAACACACACACACACACACACACTCACACACACGTGTGATGGGACCTGTTGGGTTTGCAAGGCACATGAGCAACATTTGCCTGCTGCGGCTTGGCCCGCTTCTTTCGGTGATGTTAACAACATGACACTCTCTCTTGAGTCTCTTGGGCATCTGACTAAATGTTGGCAAGGAACATGGGAAAGTGAAACATGAAAAGGAGTGTGTCGGTCAAGGTAAAGAGGACGTTCACATCTGGAAGGAGTGACAATCACTGCGCTCTCCTGCCAGGGCCAGCAGTGACCTCACTCACAGACCAAAGGGTCGCCTACGGGTCACGACTTTGAGAAGCATAAAAAATGTCTTGGCAGGGCCAGTGCTGTGACATAGCGGGCTAACCCACTGCCTGCAGTGCCGGCATCCCATATGGACGCTGGTTCAAGTCCTGGCTGCTCCACTTCTGATCCAGCTCTCTGCTATTGCCTGGGAAAGCAGTAGAAGATGGCCCAAGTGCTTAAGCCCTTGCACCCATGTGTGAGACCCGGAAGAAGCTCCTGGTTCCTGGCTTCAGATCGGCACAGCCCCAGCCATCATGGCTAATTGGGGAGTGAACCAGTGGGTGGAAGACCTCTCTCTCTCTCTTTCTCTCCTCTCTCTGTGTAACTCTGACTTTCATATTAATAAATAAATCTTTAAAAAAAAATGTCTTGGGTGTGGCAAAACTCCCATCAGACTAACCAGCATTTCTAAATAGAAAAGGATGTCCAATGTTACCGAAGGGCGACACCATAAACGTCTTAGAACCCTGTTCCATTTGCAATGGGTCATTTCTCTGATTAATTCCTAATTATTCTCTGTCACCTAGCTGAAGTCAGAATAGGTAAATCTTCCTCTTTTTTTTTCTTTAACTTATACCTGCTGGCTTGTTAGCAAGAATATTCTAAAGAATACAAATACATAGTCTGATGAAGAGGCAGTAGAGTGAGGCCTGGAACTCTTCTGAGCACAAATGCTTCTGTCCCTATGGAATTAGGGGTATACCACTCTCCCAGCCCAACCTGGAGCAGGACAAGGAAGCTTTTTTTTAAATAGCTGTTTATTTTATTTGAAAGACAGAGTTACAGAGAGAGAGAAGGAGGGAATGAGGGAGGGAGGGTGGAAGGGAAGGAGGGAGGGAGAGAGAGAGAGAGAGAGAGAGAGAGAGAGAGAGAGAGAGAGAGGTCTTCCATCCACTGGTTCACTCCCCAAATGACTGTAATGGCCAGAGCTGGGCCAGACCAAAGCAAGGAGCCAGAAGCTTCTTTTGCATCTCCCATGCAGGTGCAGGGGCTAAACACTGGGGCTATTTTCTACTGCTTTCTCAGGTGCATTAGCAGGGAGCTGGATTGGAAGTGGAGCAGCCAGGACTTGAATGAGTGCCCATATGGGATGCCAGCACTGAAGGCAGTGGTTTAACCTGCTACACTACAGCACCAGCCCCGACAGGTGAGCTTTAAAGAAAGGGAAACAGTCATGCCAGGAGTAAGGCAATCAGTGAATCCAAGAAGCATGGTGGTTGGGGTGGGGGGAGCAGAGCAGGGGGAAGTTTGGATGTAGAAAACCAGGATGTATCTGACTATGAGCTACAGAGAAGCAGCCTACAGGAACACTCAGCAGGGAGAAACAGAGGAAGGAGAGAGTCATTCAGAGAGCACACAGGGACAAGCATCCAGGCAGCAGGTGGAAAGAGATTCAAGCTAGGGACCACACAGCCACTTGGAAGACTATTGGATGGTGTCTACCAATGGCAACCATATAGGTATTCCCTGTGAGAGCAGCCATTTGGGGAGTGAACCAGTGGATGGAAGATTCTCTCTCTCTCTCTCTCTCTCTCTCTCTCTCTCCCTTTCAAATAAATAAATGTCTCTTTTTTAAAGCTATCTAATCCAATATCTCATTCTACAAACAGGAAACGTGCAATTCTGACCTAAGGAAAAACTGTCAAAGCTGGGTTGAACACAGTCCCACCGTCTTTTGGTCTAAAGCTCTCTTGATTTATTTCAGAGACCTCCCTCAAGCACCAGAGCATCCTCAGATGGAGTTGGACCAGCTGGATTTTATACATTCATATTGCACGTGTATGTAGCACAGGCTGGGGCAACGTGACTCTAGCCTT